GGGTCCCCGCGCCCCGCCTTCTTCGGGGCCGACCGGGCGTGCGAGCGAGAGCGGCAGGCGGCGACGCGCGTAGCCCGCCTACTGACGAGCGACCGAAGCGCCAGAGGAGGAGGGAAATGAATACAGTACATGAAACGCTGCTTCCTGGAAGTCTTTTTCAGCGGGAAAGGCGGGGGCGAGGAGGGGGCCGATTAAAGATTTTGGTTCGTCCTTTCCAGGGGGATCTTGGAAGGGGCAGCCGCGGGGCGAGGAAGCAGCACCCAGCGCTCGCCTAACCCCCCATCCCGTTTCGAAAAGGCGCATAAGACGGGCCTGGAAAATAATACGGACCCTTCGCGGCGCGAGAAGGGCTGAGATCCCCGTGGTTGGGATTGTCAAGAGACTAGGACTTGCAACACGAAATCTTGATCGCATCTTTCCAGGGATCGCGATTTTCTGCACTCCTCAATTGAGGTCGTCGAGGAATAACGGGGGACTTTCTTCTCAGTAACCATGAGGAGGAAAGAGGGATGCCTGTGAAAATTTAACTCCCCAACTTCCCAAAGGTCTCTTTCTGTCACCATCAAATGTTTCATCTCTCCAATTCAATCGAAGTGTTTTCTGGAGACTCCATAAATATACAGTGGAAGCAGTTTCCAGTATAGAAACTAATTGTTGTGAGTTTAAACTCCTAACTTTCTTCCTCTGATTTATAGAGATCATCTCAAAGAGTCTTATTACATCTGCCTGTCCCCAGGTTTTTCCCTTCAGCCAAGCAGTAGGATAGACCAAAATGTGACTACTGTATTAGCCATTGGTCAATGTCACCTAGCCAGTTTCAGGAAACCCATCAAAACCCTGCTGAAATTCATGACCAAGCCATGGAACAATGCAGACTTGATTTCTAGAGCTTGCTATTTTAAAAGCAGGAAACAAAACTGGTGTATAAATTATTGGATATACAGAAAACAGTACTTAGCAATCTTAACAACAGAAAACAGTACTTAACAATCCCCACCTCAAAATCCCCACCGCTGCCCACTCATGTAATGCCATGACATCATCACCTTTCACTGTGACCTGCCAGTGCTCCCAAATACAGTACCAAAAAACTGGTTGCTTCTGCCTCAAGACAAAATAGAAAGACCCTTCCCCCCTGCTGAACTGAAGGGCCTTTACCTATTCTTCAGTAGGCAACATAATTTGTTGTCCCCGTTGTCTTTCGAGTTTCTACAGTCATCTGACTTCGCTTCAATGGAAGAGCAGAAGGTTTTAGGGGCTTTGTAGCTGTAGATAGATGCCATCCGCTTAAGGGGCAAGGCACTGATACCAAAATGACTTAAACCTCTGTCACTCATGAGCTGGGGATAAGATGACATGGCAGAAAAAGATGCTGATAGCTTTGGGTGTATTTGTATTGGGGTAGATGTAAGTGGGAACAAGTCCTAAGGGAACAACTCCACATACCTGTGCCCTCCAGAGGGCAGTGGTCAAGCTGAGGGAAATGGCACAAGCCATGGTTTGCTGCAAGCTCCACTCCTTTTGTAGAAGTGTTGTGACATAACACACTGACAGAAGGGGCACAATGACATGCCTCTGGTTTTACCATTTGGACCAAAGTTTTGGATTCTGTAGATGCCTCTGCATGAGTTTTAAGAACTAACCCCTAGCCAGTCTGATAAACAGAACTTCAGCTTGTCTGAAGTCAAAATTGTTTTGATCATAGCCCAGGAAACATGTGAAAAGTGCTAACCCGCCCACTGAATTCAATATTCATTATCCCAAGTTGCATTTCACCTCCTTGGTTAAATAGCATTTTCTTATCTCATATATATTACCTTAGACGCTATCCATTTAAATAAGAAAAAGGAAACCATATTTCTGGCCCTAGTGTAAGGGCAACCTGGCCTTCTCTCTGATGATATGCCTCAGGAGCAACAGCTTGGCCTGGCTTTCAAAGGTAAAAGTGGCAAAGATCTGATGTGGCATAATGGATTGTACCACTTCAGATTCTGGGGGAAGATGCTGGTTCAAACATTCTGTTCTGGGGAAGAAAGACAACAGAAAATAACTCATGAGGAGTCCAAAAGCAGTATGGAAAGGAATGCTCAATGAACTTCACAGAAATGCTAGATTTTTATTAGTAGAGATATATGTGGGAGAAGCAGTCAGTCATATTCCTCACCCAGTCAACTCTACCACCTCAGGGTTCTGCCACATCATAATAGCTCTATCATCACTTTAGCAAACATGCATTCAGAAAGTGGGAGCAATATTCCATTGATGGTCTGATTCTTGACTTCTACGTTTATTCTAGCCTCATCCTTCAGATCTAGCAAACTTTTTGTCTTTTATCTGTTTGTTGTTGTTGTTCAGTCGTTAAGTCGTGTCTGACTTCGTGAGCCCATGAACCATATTGCGCCAGGCCTTCCTGTCCTTCACTGCCTCCCTGAGTTTGCTCAGTTTCATGCTCATTGCTTCAGTGATGCTCTCTAACCATCT